CCGTCAAAAACGAATTGTCAATTATTAAGAGCGCAGAGAAATATAACAAATTGTTTCTTTCGAAAGGTCAAACAAACGTTCTTCCATGGCAAAAGTGGATCGAAGACTGTTTCTTATTTTGTTTCGCAAAGATCCAACACTGAATCCAGAAAGCTTTGATGAAGACATTTCAAAGGTTTTCTGTACAATTATCTACAATCTTGCTGATATCACCTGAAAATGGATTAAATAAAGAACTGAAACTTTTCTGACACAAATTTTTTAAAAAACTTATTCTGGTTCAAACCTAAGAAATTGTCAAAGTTTTTAAGTACTTGAAAAAATCAATAACTTTTTTAAAATAAAAAATCCAAATTTTTTTTTCATAAAAAGCATTTCTGAACAGTTTTTCCAGCAAAATTTATCCTCTCTTATTTCCCAATCTTAATGGGCCGATCAATTTTTTAAATACGTTCTCTAAAGTTTGGATAGAAAAAAACAAAAGACGCCTGTTCTTTTTATTCAAAAAAAATATCTTTCTGATAAACGTGTTTGTGTCGATCTCAAAAATCGTGCATTGATGCTTTACATAATTAACTAAATAAATTCAAAAAACGTCCTCGACAAGCTACAAACGGCTTAGGCATTTTTCATTCACCTCAAGAAAGCCTTTGATACGCTTTCTCATGACTTGCTTCTGCAAAACTTTTCTGCAAATATTTCAGTTTTCGCGACCTGTTTCTACCTAGAAGTTAGGTATCTAGAAAACAGACATCAGTTTGTAATAACAACAATAATTTGCTCCAAGAAATTGGTTTTTAAATTTGGTTTATTTGACGTTGGGCTCCAGGAAAGCTAATATTTTATACATTTATCAGCGATACGCCAAAATTCAGAAAATTTACTTTTTGCTGATGTCAAAATGACTTAAACGGAAACTCTTTTCAACAATTTCAAAACAATTGGCTAGAATCTCAAAAAGTAGGTAATGCTTGATTGCATTTTTTGAAAACTCAATTGCCTTAAATTTATACCCCAAAAGCTTCATCAGTAAAATCCTACAGAATTCTGGTTTCTGGTAACACAAACATAGTCCATCCAGAAGAAATACACAATTTTTCATTAGGTTATGGGATCTAACTGGTTCAAGAACAACGGAATCTCTCAGCTAGAGTCTACTTGATTCTAAAAGATGTCTAAAGAAAGAAAAACAAGCAAAATTACCACCTTTACGAAAACATATTCTTCAAGATTAAAATGAATTCTAAACAGCCTACAGAGAAAAAATATGATTCTTTTTGTAACATTTTCTTTTTTTCCGGATACATGATCTAAAACGTTCGAAAGTTTTTTGTTTGCCTCTAAGTTATATCACACGACTTCTGAGGTTAGTTTGCCAGCAGAAAAAATAGTATAAAAAATATAATCTCACAGACAAGCAAAATAAGCATAGATAAAAAGGATTTAAAAAAGAATTAAAATAGATATTAGTGATAGTTCAAAAACTGGGAAAAAAAGATTTCTTTATCCAAATAGCGGAATTTTGAAATTATAAATATATATATATATATATATATATATATATATATATATATATATATATATATATATATATTGTGCAAAGGTTCTCACTTATCAATTACACGAAACATGTTGATACAGTTTTAGAATCAATTAGCACAAATACCAAAGTTAACTTGGTAGGTTATGAAGCATCTCTGACTAAAATAAAATCTCAAAACAAAATAAACCGACAAACAAAAAAAAACGTTCCTGACTATAGCTTATTTGCAATGTTTCAGAACCTGTGAGTCAAAAACTGAATCCAAAAATCTTTGATTTAGACATTTTCAGCAAATTTCTACATTTAGCTCGAATCTTGAAGATAACATAAATAAACAGAATACATTTGAATTTTTCCTACAATGGAAAAACTTTTGAACTAAATCTTTATAAGCCCTCAAAACTGTTTAAGCTTGTAGGTACTTGGAAAATCAGTAAACCACTGGTTAGGATGGAATAAGAAAAAAATAATGAAAAACTAACCACCAAAACAAATGCGGACAGCTAAGCAATTTTTTCAATGAGTACATTCCTGAACGCTTTTATACCAACCGGCTTGAAGTAGCAAAATTTATCGTCATTTTCCAAAACGAGGACTCTTACAACCCCAGTAACTTTAGTCATATCTTCTTTTCAAGTAGTCTTGAAAAATTTGAAAAAAATGCCGTTTTCTCTCCTTAACAAAAAAGTATTTTTTTTGGATCAGTTTTGCGACAACCTAAAAGTTCATCCGTTAATACTTTGATTAACTTTATTAAATTTATTTTATTAGGACCTACTCGACAAGCGTCAAACGGCTTTAAAAAATTTTCAATTGACCTGATACGCTCTGATACGCTCAGTCATGATTTGTTTTAAAAAACTTTTGAATCATTCGGTTTTCGCAGTGCTTTTCTAACTAGAAGTGAGATAAATGCAAAACAGACATCATTCTGTAAAAAATGGAACAAAATTCTCTACAAAGACGGAATTCAATTCTAGTGTATCTCATCGTTCGGTTCTAGGAACGCCAAAATGTCAAACTTTTTTCATCGATATGCCAAAAGAGCTTGAAAAATTCCAAACATAATTTTTTGCTGATGAAAAGAGGAGTTTATACGGTAAAATATTTCAACAATTACCAAAAAATTTTACCCAAAAGTTCTTGTTCATGTGACGCAATTGCTTCAAAATAATCTATCAAAAATGATACCAGTAATTTTCAGCAGAATCTTAGTTTTTTGGTAACACAAGTATTGTTTATTTAGAGGTGTTATGAAATCTATCAAATTTTGAAAAGATGTTATGAAATCTATCTGTTTTAAAAATACGGAATCTCTCAGGGCGATGATGAAGCAGGAAAAAATTCTGAATAGGAACAAAATTTAAGAGGATGAGTTGCTTAAAGAGCTTTATCAATTATTCAGACGCAACAAAAATGATATATTGTTGAAAAAGTTGTAACACACCGTCGTATCATTCGTAGTTTTAGCAAAAGTGTACTTTTAATAGTGTTCTTTCACAGCACAGTCATCAAAAAGTTTCTCAGAAGCAACCTAGCTTTGGCAAAAAATTGGCTTAATTCTCGGGAATATTATGTTACGCTCGTTTGATACTTTCAAAAATTGAATTGTTTTCCACAAATAGCGCAACGATATAGTCATCGATTCTGAAAGACACCAAAAGGCTGAAAAAAGCAAAAGTAACATAAATCTACAAAACAATTCCACTATATAGATAATAGATTATGAATTTTGTGTACACATTGTTTTTGTATAGGAGCCCACTTTTCTCTTGTTTGGTTTGATTTTTCCAAAGTGGTTGGCAATAATCTGGGCAAATCAGCCTTTCCAGAAAATAACTTACGTTTGTTCTTATCATTCTTCTTTTTCGGAATAGAGGGCCTCAAATTATCATATTGAAAAACAAAACAGATAAAACTACCTTGTGCACCGTTAAATTGTATCTTAGGCTTGTGTGGTCAGTTTGTGAGCAGACAACATGGTTACAAAGACGAGCAAAATAAGCATGGGTAAATGAAATTTTTCTACAAGAAGATTAGTAGAAAGCGATTTCGAGATTTGATGCAATAACTCATTGCAAAAGATTTAACTGATAGTTCGGAAAATGGGAAAGTGGGGAAAAACATTTTCATCAATTAGTGCAATTAAAAAAACGAGAAAATTCTATAAAAACTTTTTTTTGATTTTAAAGTAGAAAATCCAAATAATCAGGTTGATAAAAAAAATAAACTCAATTGCAACAAGTATAATAAACTTGAAAGACTATCATGCACCTCTGTAAAAAAAATGAAATTTCGAAACAGAAGAAACCGTCAGAAACGAATAATCAATTGTTTATAGCGCAGAGAAAAATAAAAAACAGTATACTTGGAAATGGCAAAAGAAAAACCAACAATGACCAAACTAGACTGAATTTTAATCAATTTCTAGCGTCATGGTCAAACCATCAAGATGGCAAAAAGCAGGGGAAAATCTAGGATTTTCTCGAGGGGAGGGCGGATTTTAAAACTCTAAGCTCTCCGAACTCTCCCAAAGCACTAAGGAGACCCTGTTTTGGGCCGCAGGAAAAAATTTGAAAACAGGCCAAAAAAGGCGTTTTTAGGCACTTAATGGAAAATTTTGACCAAAAACTTGCGTTTTTTGGCGCGCGCTCTTCCCTCAAAATTAGTATATATTGGCGCTAAAGGCGCACTTAGAAAAATTTTAGGGTCAGTTATCAAATATGTATATCTCAAAATAGTTTAAAAAGGGAACCTTTGGGTCGGCAGGGGGTCGAATCCCTAAAGGAAAAGGAACGTCCGCCCCGCCGCCCCCCCCCTTTCACCTAAATCCGTCCCTGGCAAAAAAAAGACTTTTTGCGTCGTATAACCAAAAAGACCCATTTTTTGTCTAGGGTAAAAAAATATCTCAGTAGAGTTTTTAGTTGGCTTTTTTCCATTTCTCACTAATTTCAAACTTCCTTTCATTGCTGTTTTGCATGGGACAAACGGTTAAATACTGGATGTTAAGATGTAAAAGAATAAAGAAACAAGCATACTCGCTCGGCAAGCCGAAGATTTCCGGATCGATACTCATTCGCAGTTAACTTTTGTAATTTTGGTCTGAATAAAAAAAACCCACCCCAAGCATATATATTCCTCACTTTCTTCAAATGTCGGAACAACAATCTTCTTCCAAATAATTTGTTTGTTCGCCATGTAAAAACTCACAGCATAGTAGCAATGTTAAAACAATTCTTCAAAACTGCAATTCAAGGGGGGGGAGGGGAAGGGAAATAATATATTTTTTAAACTATTTCCCATTTTTTGCAAAAAGGGGAGATTCGTTTCTAGGTAAAAAGTTCATATACTCCTAACAATTGAACTATTTATTTATATAGATGGCAATTCGTTACTTAGTGCCAAAAGGGGATATAGTTTCAGAGATCCGAACATGCTGCTTATACATGTTTCTCACCAGTACAACTGGGTCATCCTTTTGTTGGTCTACAAGGGTGAGAACTGAGAAGACGGTGGTGTGTGGGGACTTGCAGATGGCTCGGGTGGCCTCCATATAAACCACTGCCTCTTCATCCTTCATCATGTTGAATCTCTGGCTTTCCTCGTTGAAGAAGGCACAGTGCGAACTAGTCCGAGTAGTGTACAATCCTAGAAATATCAACTGTTTTTTCAAAAATTTGCCGAAATTTTGGCCATAACAGGGTCTTTTTACTGCTTTGGCAGAGCTCGGAAAATCGATAAGAAAAAGGTCGTCAAACTTTTCGAAAAATTTTTGAAAATCCACCCCCCCAAAAAGGTCGTCAAAAATTTTGAAAATTTTCGAAATTTTTTTGAAAATAAATATATTCCGTCAGTTTCTTCTGAAATCAGAGCAGCAAGCATAGTGTTTAATTCTAGAGTGAAATTGACGCTTTTGCACTGCAGACGAATTTTTAAAAATTAGCCAAAAACGACGTTAGGAAGGTTTCACCAAAAATAGGGCTTTATGTCGGTGCGCGCTCTCACCTAAAATTAGTTGACATTTAAGGCACCTTTAGAAAAATTACTGATGTATTGCAAACTTTAAGTCCCCTAGACCGCAATTACAATAAAATTTTTGAACAGTTGAAACAGTTAAAAAATACAAATAATTTTGAATTCTTTCGTCATTTATTTATAATCACAAGTATACACTTTTTGAATTTGAAAAACAATTTCCTTCATGATTCATTTGGAGGCAAATCATTGGCTGCTGAATTCAAACTTTGATGGTTTATAACGTTCATCTATTAATGAACTATAGATCTCTTTCAGCGGAAACACTTAATTATGACTGAGAAAATTTCACTAAATAGGAACTCATTTAAAATTATTTTTGACGTTTCAGCCGACTTTGATTTATGTGATGAAAGATACGCTCCAATAAGCTATAGGTCTTTCAGGTATCTTCGAAATGAGGTTCGTAATATCCTTTTTGGTCAGTTGTTAATCTTATCTAAAGTTAGTTAATTAATCTAAAACTGCTCTTTTTGACGTCAGTAATCAACTTTTAACTCATTTCAGCAAGTTAATTTTAAATTATCAAAAAATCCAATTAGTCTGAAATCAGCGTTTAGTTAATTAATCAAAATTTGCTCTGTTTGACGTCACATATCAAATTTTAACTCACTTCACAAGGTAAAATTAAGTTAAAAAAATCTAATGAACATAAAAGCACCGTTTTTTGACCGATAAATTTGGTCAAGGTCACCAGTCTAAGCAACAGTTTGGATTTAAATGTAAAAAAACCGCGTCCAGACAATTCGGCCAAAGAATAAAATTATACAAACCTTGCGTGAATAAAATTTTACTAGCCTTCCTCAACATGAAGGGGCACTCTCTCGTGGTAATTGAGAGCGAACTGAGCTCCGATAGAATGAACAACTGTCAAGTTAGGCGTGGACAAACTAGCCACGAACAAATCGGACACTCGCTTCGTGAACTTAGAGTTCATTCTGAATCTGTTATGGACTCCCAGCGGAGTGGACACTGGAAGAGACGCTTTCCTTTGTTTCGACTGAGTTATCTGTCGGTTAAGTAGTAACATCACTATTGTGTAACCTGCCTCTATTTGAGAAGTGACGTTTTCTGTGTAGATGAAACCCTCTAAAATGAGAATAGCCGGCCGGTTTCTCTGCAAGTCGTACATATTGTTCGACCAAACTGATTGAAGAAAAAACAGAAAAATGTTCGAGAATCGAACAAAAAAATATTTGAAAAAGGTACCATTTCTTTTGATTTTTTTCGTTCAGAGTTTTTTTGCTAATTTATTTCTAATTTTTATGTGAAACACTGCAAGAATGATATAGCTATAATCAGGCAGCGGAGACAATTAATTTTTTGGTCGCAAAAGTGAGTTTTTGGTGACCAACAAATAAGAAACAAGACTGCTCGTATCAGGGCGAAGCCCTGAATGTTCCGACTGCCTTTTAAGGTCTAGGGAGCAGTAATAACATGGAAAATTAAAATCTAATAAAGTAGAATGAAATTTTTTTTAATTTGATAGTTTTAGTGAAAATCATCCCCCCACACGCCATACAAAATTCAAAGTGATAAATTTAGTGCCTAGTAACAAATCAATTATGGCAAATAAGCTTCCTTCAACCAATTTGGAACGGTTTCTAAGACGGATTAAATCTCCGCTTACGCGTTAATAGCGCGAAATATATATCGCGTTAATTGTCCCAAATTGACCAAAACGGCAATACAGAATTTTTCAATTGTCGCCTAATGAACTCTTTTATGTACTTACACTTTTCTACACTTTAAACCTTTTTAATATCGGTTTGGTCGGTTGTTAATCTGATCTAGAGTTAATTAATCTAAAACTGCTCTTTTTTACATCAGCAATCAACTTTCAACTCATTTCAGCAAATAAATATAAATAATCAAAAAGTCCAATTAGCCGAAATCAGCGTTTAGTTAATTAATCAAAATTTACCCTGTTTGACGTCACAGATCAACTTTTAACTAACTTCACAAAGTAAACTAAGACAAAAAACTAATGAACATAAAGCACCGTTTTTTGACCGATAAATTTGGTCAAGTTCACCTAGCTAAGCTACAGTTAGACATTAATAGTATGTAAACAGTAACTGCGTGAATAAAATTTTATTTTACGATTCATTCACAGCATGAAGCGGCATCCTCTCCTGGTAATTGAATGACAATCTTTAAACCCCAATATTTTTTTAAAAAAATATTCACAGGTGAAATGACTTTTCAAATTTAGGCTCAGGACAAGGTGCATATACAAAATAGTCCCATACAAAAGAGTTCGAAACATCAAAAATTAAGTTCTAAAACAAGTTCCATACAAAACAGACCAAAACCATTTGAATTTCTTGACCTTGATCTTTTAGCGCCCACAGATCTGATCTACGCTTTGAAAACTCAAACATGGGCGTAATTAAAGGTCAAAGAGTCAATGTTGGAACGATAATTCGAATCAAAATCAAAGGCCTCATGTTATAGTGGTTAAAGCGTTACTCAAAAGATCGAATCCCCGCAAAAACTGTCCAATTTTCCCAAAAAAGTTAAAATTCGGGTAAATATGATAACGGGTATATCTAGGGTCAACCTTAGAGGGTTGGGCGGGGAGAACACAAAAATCAACACCATGTATGTTTCAATTTTTCGCCGGTTTCAATTCGACTCTAGCTCAATTTTGAAACATCAAGGAAAAAAGATGAACTTGGAAAAAGTTTTAATGCTTGGCAAGGTGGAATATATGTGAAAATTGAAAACAACAGAAACTTCTGTTTAGAATTTAAAATTATAACTACCTCCTTTCAAAAACCCAATGGTATAGTTGGGTTGATATGACCTAATCTTAGTGATTACGTTTTTGTCGAGAGTTTGGTATTTAGCTTTTTTGGGTCTGGCTATTTTTTGCCCTGGGCACATTTTTTCTCACTGTATTTCCGCATTTTGTTGCTCGTCCTGGAACTTCTCGATCAATTTGTGAAATTAAGGATGCTTACTGTTGACCAGTTTCACGAAGTTGCTGCTCCAACCTTCTACAGCGTTGTTGGTGCGGGGAAGCTCATTTTTCTCTCTTTAATGGCAACTCCATTGCTCCATACCAAATCTGGGCTTCTGTCGTCCTTGAGAAGTCAGTCAACCAATAAATGAGTCCTCAAATTAATTGGAAATCGGTTGAATTTTTTCAGATGCCAAACCTTGCAGAAGCTCGAAAGCAGTGAGGTCGTCCTCTACGGGAAGAAATTCTGTTGCGAAAAGCATTCTAATAAGTTCGCAAAAATTAAAATCATTGTTGTAATTGTGAATTTTGCCTGACGACTGAACATGTCGCCAGACGCTTTGAATCATATGGAAAAAACAAAACTGCTTTTGAGCACTCTGATGGGTAGCTATTATTGAGTTTTGCACAGCTACTTCAAAATCAATTGTGACCCATTTTGGGTATCAACATTTAGAATACTGAGAAGGCAACAAAAAATTTTGATCCTTTTTGTTTGGTAGCAGAGCGTAAACAGTAGGAATAAGGCATCCTTCAACAGAAGCGTGTATTGTATAAACTTGATAGTAAACATTGGGAGCAGTCGAAAACGTTCCATCACAGAACCAACCATCCGATTAGGAAAGCAGGTCTTACCCAGGTAACGTGGCGAACACAATAACCCCATTTTCATCTTGTGGACGAGAACCGCGAAGAAGGAACTGCTCTCCATTGTGAGTTTTCTGTAAAGCCAGTGGTAGTTCAAAGCCAGTCAGCGAAGTTGACTCTGCCATCTTTGGTCTTTTTTCGCGTCGAACTCTATTTACAGCTTACTGATTAGCAGAACAACTAGGTAAATGAACAGCTGTTTCTCTATTCACATCACATTCACATCACATCTTCAATTGTTTTTCTGAACTTACGTTTTTCGATGTCAGCTGGATTGGGGAAGTGAGAGTGATCTTTAACGATCTGAACGGAGTCCTCTTTTGTACGCACACGGCCATTGCAACTAGTTTTTGCGCAATGCCAGGAAAGGGAGTTGTCTGCCAGGGTTCGGTGTTTGAAATAAGCACACCCTTCAAAAATCAGTAACTCAGAAACTTTGTTTGTAAGTATGATTTCCATCGATAGTAAGTGAATTTCGTTTCTATTGAGTGTTGCCAAGTGTTCGCAAAAGAAACAACTTGAACAACCTGCCACTTTTCGCGTTTTTTTAATTGCGTTAACTTTAATGTTTCACATATTATTGCTTTTTATGAGTGGCCGCTGCTGTTATCTAGGTTGTTCTAATTTCTCTGCTGTACAACCTATTGTTGTCCGGATTAATTGGAATAAATTTATTTATCAGCTCTGGAACAATTATAATTTCGATCAATGAGACTGTTTTTTTGGACTGTTTTTTGGACTAATTTTGGGAATGTTTTGTATGGGACTATTTTTTGCACTTTGCTATGATTTTTCGGACTGTTTTGCATTGGACTGTTTTGTACAGACACGCAGGGCATCAATACCTTTCGAATGATTCAAAAAAAGCCCGTCAAAAATGGCTAGTAAAAAAGTCGAAATTTGTTTGAAGAAAAAACTCACCCCGAGCACAAATATTCCCTTACTTTCGTTGTGAAATCCGACACAAAAAGCAAGTAAAGAAATTTTCAATTTTCGTCTGATGAACACTTTTATATTCTAACACTTTTCCAAGTTTTCATCCGTACTTTCCGGGTATAAACAAAATTGGCAAATTCCAATTTATGGTCCTTTTCAAAATTTTGATTGTTTTTCGAAGCAATATAAAGCAAAATTATATGCTTTTGCTGACTGTTTTTATACCAAATTAAGGGCATAGAAAGTAACTTTTTTAAATTTTTCTTGAGGATTTTTTTACCACTCCATGGTTATAATAACTGAAATTTTATAATTTAAAAAATGTTTAAGAATCAAAAGGGGAGTTAAGCCTCCCAACAATTTCCGTCTTATATAGTATGAAAACCGATAATATTCAGACCAATTTTTCTCGAAGCTGAGACAATTTTTTGATTTTTTTTGGATGCCACAACACGGCCTAATTAAAGCGTTTTAATATGGTGTCACACTTAATTCTCGGATTAATCAGAAAACAGGTCATAGTTGGAGCAATTGATAGTACAACAGCTGCTACCTTCTTATCAAAAAACAGCAAGCCGTATAAAAACTGTTTGTTGTTAACAATTTATGATAAGGGCTTCGAATTGTTCTTCAATTGTAGATAAAATTTCTGCGTTTATCTGCCGTCCCCACCTTTAGACGAGATGAAAACATCAATTGTACCGTGCAAACTTTGGTTTCAAAAGGTTGTATGTGAAGCCACGTTTTTTTGCAATCAGTCAGTGTATTAAAAATGCCAAACTACTTAACTTGGTCAAATTTTAGCAGTTCTATAACGTGAACGAAATATTTCACTGATGAAAAACACAGGTGGGTTCGGAAATAACAGAAAAAATTTTTTATGGTCTACAATTTTGAAATACCTTGAATAGTATGTCTCGTAACACCATGCAAATCCACGTGTTTTATTTTAAACTGTTCAGGAGTATTTGTGGAAGCTTGAACAGAGTCCAAATGAATGGCCTTCAGAGTCGTGTATTGGGTCTCCATGAAGATATCGAATCCTTCCAAGCTCCATTTCATCAGCCAATGAATGTAGTTTTCGAAGGCGTTGATTTGATCTAACATTGCAAACTCGTTGCTTTTTAGAGCATCGCAGCGAGACACAACTGTCTCGAAGAAGTCGAGAGATATGTCGCCAACACTCGTCGTCAAATCTTTGAGGTCGTTGGTTGTCGGGTTTTCGAGAGTTGAGATGAGGCTATAAAAACGATCTCATATTTTTCTCTTTTCAAAAAAAATTACTAAATTCTGAAATTAAAAGAAGGCTCACAAAACAAGTCAGAAAATCCGACCAAAAAATTTGACCCGTTTTTCACGACACTTATACTTCATAAATTTGTTTTTTTTTTCATCGAGATCAGGGCTCAGATGGCTGTAAATTCATACATCACTCAACCCTGTTTTACATTTATTTGAGGTCTCATTTTGTACGAAAAAACACCCGAGAACAACAAGCTTGATGTTTTCGACTTACGCAACGTTGGGGATTTGTTTGAACATCGCCAAGATTTCAACTGCTCTTTCTTCCGTCAGTTCGTCGCCGATTAGTCTGTTTATGCCAAGAAAAGTGGCTTTCAACATTCCGTCTTCAATAGCTTCGCCGTACAATGATACCCCTAGGATGTTGTTCAAATAAATATTTATAAATCTATCGTCTGGCGACAAAACTGGTTCGTTGTTGTTCAAGTTTGGATCTCTTGTTGTCGTAGCAGGAATATCAGAGTCTTGATCAGGTTTTAGAGTAACGTACGAGTCCGAAATATTCGCAGGTTGTGCCATCACTTCAAACGCGTCAGGTGTGTCTGTGACCATTTCTACGTCGCCATTTTTGTAAATAGTAAAAGTGCTTCGCACGCTGTTGAAGAGCTTACATCTACATTTAGCGTCGCCGAACTCCCGGGGAACTTCAACGCAACGTTTCGCTACATATTTCGTATCATCGTATTCGTAAGTGGTGTTGTGGTTATAAAGAATCATAAGATTGTCACTTAACTTGTAGCAAACCAACTCAACGTTCCGTGGGTTTACATTCAGAGCGCATGCTTCGCAGCAGATCGAAACAGTATCCGCGTTGCGATCTGTTTCAACTATCTCCAAACGTGACCAAATTTGGTGGTTTTTAACCGAGTCTGCAAGCACGAAAGGGTTCTCGGGGGCAAAACTGTTTGTACTCGTCATTATGCATTCTACATCTTTGTCGGCGTTCGGGAGTTCGAACTGGACCAATGAAACTCCAGTGTCATATGGGATAGTTTCAGCGATAATATTTTCATTACCCGATCCTGTACAAGAAACAGTTGCGACTATGTTCGAACCATACATGGGAATTCGACCTACAACTTGACCTCTTTCTTCCCCGCAAATGACCGCATAATCAAATGAGTAGTCCCCCACTGGACCTGACTGATGACCCGTGATCTTGAAAAATCTGGTCTGTCGGCGCAAGGTTGTTTCGGCTACCGTTCCTTCTAATCCGTCAGAACAATTTAAGTAATACATGCCATTATGTTTAAAGGCATCCAGAGGACTGAAGTTGATGTAGAAACAACGTCGTGTAGTTGTACATTGTGGGTTTTCGTCTAGTTCATCATACCAAGTGATGCCCTTTTCCCCCTGAACCAGCGGTGAGTCACTATCGAAGGCATGCAGTCGAACCCAGTTGCAGGATCCGAACGGGTTTGCTTCAAGACACGCACGTAATGCTACATTCCGACCGTAGCATGGTTGTTTCATAGTAACATTGCCGTCCCAACACCAATAATCCAGAGGCTCAATTTCAGCATCCGTTATCAATTCAACTGGCAAACTGTTGAAAGTGAAATCGAACCAGCTAACTGGCTGGTATCTTAAGCCTCCAGACGTTTTTTGAATACAACGGAATGCGTTCACATCTCTTTCTTCAGGATACGGGATGCTATATTCTACAAAACTAAGAGGCATTACATCACTGTATGATTGGTTGATGTAAGAACCATGCGGTAACGCCTGACATTCGATGTCCACTCCAATCTCGCCATGAATCACAGGATATATTGTTTGTTTCATCCCAATTTTGAGGTCCAAAGGTCGATACATACACTCCGTTGGCGCTTGGTAGAGGTTCCACAAAACACCCCGTCTGAATTTACACAGAGCACCTTTGGGTCCATCATCGGTATCTGGGTCTTTAAAAAATTGACCGCTAAAGAACTGAACAGTTTTGCTTTCATACACAATTTCCTTTTTTCGAACAGTGAAAAAGATCGATTTCGGGTCTGAAGGTTGGGGATTAGCTGTGTAATGTAAATACGCGTTGCATGTTAGAGCCAGCCAGAATAAGTTCAGGTCAAAATTCTGATAGGCTACAGCTTTTCCGTCATCATCATCAATAATACTGTTTATAACGGGGTCAAATCCATTCACAACATATTCCCCGCCTTCAGATGCGCAAACTTCTTCAGGCCTAGCATCACTAGCGTGCATCACTATTTTGTAGAAGTAGCGGTAGTCGTTGTTGTCGAGGTACGGCGCGCCGTCTCCCAGGTAAAGCGCGCGTGAATTGTTAGAGTAACTTTCTTCGGGTAAATAGACTCTGCCGACATTTTGGTTCAGCGTTATTCTGAACAACTTAAATTGATCGTTACTATCTCGCGAACAGCTGTTTACGTCATCGAAAGTAACCGGAATAATTCTACCGGTGCAGTCGGTGCCAATTTTGGAAGGTCCAAAATAGTAACACAACGATTTATTGGCAGTCGAAACTTCCAAATAATATGTTCCAACGTTCCATTCTTGCGCACTGTAGAGAATAAAGGAAACGTTCGCAGTTCGGAGAAAAATGGAAAACGTTAACAAATCTCCTAGAATAGGCGAGTACACCAAAGGAGTTTCAACTTGATTCTTGTATTCACATGGATTCAACCGGTTGTAATCTGGAATGTCGGAGTGGTACTCGCTTTTCCAGAACCTCAAATGAAAAGGTTGGCTTTCTGGTTCTACTTCGAAATGTTCAGAAGCAACCAGAAGATGATGCTTAATCGTGCACCAAACTCTAACACTGGAACCAGGCATCACATTGTCGACACAAGTAGTTCCACAGTGGATCCCAAATGGGTGGACAAACTCAGTTATCAGTTCCTTGTCTTCACCTCCGGCTGTTATCGAAAACCAAAACAGTCCCGAGTCTGTGGGAGCCAGATAGCTGAAAGGCTTCTTGCCGGTCGCTTTAACCATAAGATTGAAGCCCGAACAAACATACTCCTTAGATGTACTGATGGCATCTTCGTCTTCGAATTTTCTGCTCCATTCGCCAGACGCTGGTTGAAACCTGTATCCGAACCTTCCGATCAGGTATCCTGATGTTTCGACCACTATTTCATACGGACCTCCAAAGTCTGATTCTAAGAAATATGCAATTCCACTGTAAAGCGGAGGACTGGTTATTACGATGTCAGAGTTCAAGTTCAAGGGCAAGTTCAGAACACCTGTTGTGGGAGTGTAGATCCTGTCGTTTTTTCGACGACCACAGTAGCAATTGATTTCCACAAGCTCCTCGTCTATGCGAACTTCTATCGAGTAATGAATCGTGTCGCCCTGTGAAAGAGTGAACTGTCTCAACTTTCCGCTAAGAGATTCGCCCCAAGAATCAAAACCGTCGCACGTTATCTCACGTTGCACTAGAGATCCGATTATTAAAGGCCTGGCTGTGAAGCTGACAATAGCTTTCGCTCCTTCCTCTTGAACCGCGCAAGAGTCTTGCAAAATTGGAATGGCATTCACTTCGGCTTCGTAAAAGTAACAAAAGACGCCGGCAACTGACTGACCAGAACATTCATACACGTCAAAAACTCCAGTCGCTGGGTCGATATGCGCACACCACAAAATCACTTCATCTTTGAGAAATACAAAGACACTACCACTGACGTCATCGCCTATTTTGGTCCCCAGCGTCTTGTGAACTAAAGACTGAAGCAAGTAGTTTGTGCCTCCCGCTTGAAAAACACTGAAAAAGTATTTGCTCAGGACATCCGCTCCCTTCTCGGCTAGACATGCCGATTTGACCGAGTCGAGAGAGCCGATTGGATCCGAGTTGTCGGAGCTGTATGACGTAATCGTGACGAAAAAGTTACCCTCGTTCAGTTGAATGTAAAAGTAGTCCGGCTCTCCTGGGTCTTGTAGAATCTAAACAGAACTGGTCGATGAGTGATTTGTCTTAAATGAAATCTAATTGATGGTCCAATTGCCCTAAATAAGAATATCAAAAGGCGAAGGATTATTAGTTAAAATTGAAACAAGGAAAAACTAATTTCCTGAAGATTTTCAACTGTAGAAATTTTTTTCTAGACGGTCAAGTTAAATATCGACGTCCATTTTTATTTCATTTCAAACAAAACCAACTAGCTCCTTGGTACAACAAGTAGCGCAGAATCTTCCGACCGTAGACTTAGAAAAAATACCAAACATTTTTTTTCAAAATAACGCCGTGTTTCAATTTTCTTTTCTGCGTGGGGTGATAAAAAGATCCAAATGAAAAAACAAAATTTAGGCATATTCGAAAACCATAGTAAAAAAGCCATTGAGAAGCAGTTTTTTTCTTTGAAAAAATGAACAGAAAAACGAAAAAAAATGTAAGAAAAACAACCAAATTTCAAAAAGTTTTTCAATTAATTTTTGCAACTTTTTTTTTCAAATTTTTGAAGTTTTTGATTCCCATAATGGCTCAAACAAACTCCAAAAACTAACTTTACTCGAGTAAATTTAGGTTCTCACAGCCTAAATAAAGTATGAAAACGCTATTGTAAGCCTGCATGCTCACCTTATTAGCTCGAAATTAGACGAAAAATCAAAAATTTCAAACTATTTTTTTCTCGACAGTGAAAAAATTTTTCAAAATTTTTAAAGTAGTTCGAGTCATGACTAATAAGGCTCTGATATGATATATCTGATAGCGGTAACTGATTTTGCGTGGAACAGGAAAACAAAAAAATAGAAAAAAAAGTTAAAAAAAACTAAAACATCCGAATTCAAAGTTCCTCCCCATTTTCCATATTCGGATCATTAAGATTTAAGCCCAGCATAAATCAAACCTCAAGTTTCTCAGTGAAGCTGTATCCATCCACTGCGAAAGAATATACGTCGTTGTAGCTGTACTGAAAAGCCTCAATTTGGAAGGTGAAAGCACACTTTTCATATTCCTCCAAAGTTTCCCAGAGCAAATGAACAGCGTGTTCCATTCCAACAATATTCGTCGAGCTCTCCACTAAAACTCTTCCGTTTCTCGACACTTGTACCTCCATTGAAGGTCCGCAATTAGCCTGACTGTCTTGGAATATTTTCACTCCGACCCGAGCTTGGAACCCAAAGTAGAATCGACTGATCTCGTGGTACGCGATTCTAGGAACACTCGGGAGCTTCTCGACATAGGGTATGAAGGCACTGGCGATGTTTATGACGTCACTTGAAGGAAGGGAGGGTTCGGGTTGGATCAGAATGAAGCGGGCGTTGATTGTTGTCCCATCTGGCGGGTTCCACAAACAGCCGCAGTTGAACTCTTCATATTTGTCGGGATACGACCCGAAGATGATTCGACTCTGCACAAACAATTTAAATTTAGTTTTTTGAGCACATTTTCTTTAAAACAAGCTTTTCGATAATTTTTAATCGACCAACCTGTGCTGATATTATGCGACTTCTAATTTTTGTGTAAAAATTCTATTTTTTTTTAACGCGCATTTGAAGCGAAACATAAAAAGGGGAGCACTCGGAAATTGAAAATTTGAACAGCAGCGGAATTTCAATTTAACGACCTTTTTTAGATCTCCCTAAGCACTGTTTAGTCCCTGTTTTGGCCAAATTTTCTTTCTGCGCCGCAAGCAAAAATTTGAAAAACTGTCCAAAAAAGAAGTTTTAGGCAATTTTTTGGAAAATTTTGACCAAAAAATCGCGTTTTTTCGGCGCGCGCTCCCCCCTCAAAATTAGTATATTAGCCAAGGGCGCCTTTACAAAAAGCTTAGGGTCAGTCGGCCGAAAATGGATTTCTTGAAAAGTACCAAGGGGGACCCTTTGGGTCGGCAAGGGGTTGAATCAATGTCGTTGTTTCTTCATTTTTTATTCAATTTTTAAACAAATTTTCTTTTTATTTTTCTAAAAAAGGCGGTTGGTTTATCTGAAAAAGTTTTTGAATAGCCTAAAGCCCAAATAAACGGTAAGAAATTGTAGTAGAAATAAAATACATGACAAACATAAAACAAAAAAATTAACATAAAAATAACATAAAACTTTGGTAGACCTATTTTTTTCAGCATTTTTCATTTTTTGTTTTTGTGTTTCATATTTGTGATGTATTTTAATTCTACTACAATTTCAAAGATTTCTTACCGTTTATTTGGGTTTTAGGCTATTCAAAAATTGTTTCAGATAATTCAACCGCCTTTTTAAGAAAAAATAGAAAAATAAAAAGAAAATGAAAAATGCTGAAAAAACTAGGTCTACCAAAATTTAAATTTTCTTAAGTCTTATTGGAAGTTCATTTTAAGCAAAGAGGCCAGATATTTGAATGTTAAAACAGCAGCAGAACAAAACTTACGAAAAAGAAATAAAGCCGACAATCTTTGAGCTGACACAAGTTGAGCCGAAAAAAAAAATTATAAAATTTGAGAAAAAAATTGATAATCATAAAAAAATTTAATAATTTATTGAATGAACGAAAAAAATATCAATTAAAAATTTTTTTTAAAAATCCTGAAACTACGTTGAACAATATTTGTTTTAGCATTTTTGATGAAAGCTGCCAGCACAACAAGCAAAATCCGTGATAAGGCAACTAATCCCACAATCATTGAGAAGACACAAATGGAGCCGAAAAGAAGATTTTATATAGTTTATTTAAAAATCTTCCTGTACTCCTGAAAGTAGAATAAACAGAAATTTCATTGCAACTGCAATGAAAGTTCCTTACAGCACAAGCGAAACCCGTCATGTGGCAATGAAGCCGGCAACCTTCGAGCAGACACCAGTTGAGCAAAAAAAAGCAATTTTATAACACAAATTGAAACAAGTTTCAAGTCCCCCGAAACTACATTGAACAACAATTGCATTTCTTGCACTTATAACTACCATGCGAGTTGCTTACAACTCAAGCAAAACTCTCGATGTGGCAACTAACAAGACATTTCGGTGAAAATCCGACAAATCAATTTTTACCGGAAAAATTTCAATTACGCTTATAGCTAATTTAAAAAAAAATCGGCCGGAACTCGAACCCCTAATCTCAGGGTGCAGAAGCGACTGCCTAGGCCAAGAAAGAACGAAAATGAAAATTTTGAAGCTTCAATAATGAAGTAAGAGAAGCAAGTAAGATATACAACAAAAATTGTTTACGGGAAAAAAGTCTGGTTCCGATTACAAGACACCTGCTTTCGAAACTGTATGAATCTAATCAAATTGTTTAATTTAGTCTGAAAATCTACAAACTCCCACCAGTTTATCCGGGCCTAATATCAACTTTTTTTATTTTTTTCATACATTCGAATCAATGCTAAAAAAGCTTTATACGAACACTATACTTGACCTCCACTGAACAAAAAATCATCCAAATTTGTTTCAATTTTTAAAACAGTTCGACTCATTTTCAAACATTTTCCCCACGGATCATTTTTTTCCAAACTGAGTCAACTTTGGTTTTTTTTCGAATCCCAAAAGTAACCCTATTTACAATCAAATTTACTGTAATATCAAACTTCACACGCTGCAATTTCTTCTGGAGGTAGCTCAAACCCGACAAAAACGAACCCTTGAGCCACTAGTTCGTCCCGATCACATGCGGCGATCGGACGACTATTATATAAGCTTTAAAAAATTTTGTAACCAAACCGAAGACATTTCAATTGTTTTTTTTTTGGATGATTGTGCTTCATTGAATGCAAGAAACACGGAGCTTTCAAAACATTTTAAGTGAACTATGGCAAGGTTATTGCTCAATAAAAAAATTTACAAGAACGATAAACCTAAACTGCGGCCAATTTTGCAAAACTTCTCCTTCAATTTTTTTTTGATGATTGAAAGGATTTTTCATGAGATCTTTTCTAACATCAAACAGCTTAATTAACGCTTCTGTTTGCTCGCAAGCTTAAACAACTCACTCTTAATTGGATTAAAAACTTTCTTGTACATTATCAAGATTGCTCTGTTAGGGCCAAGCCTTGAGTATTCCGACTGCCCCTTAACTGGTCTCGAATAGTTTTGGTTAATAAAATAGTGATGGCAAACTATGAATTTTAATCTATTAACATCAAGTTTTAAGTGTTCAAAGTTGAGGCAAGTATGGAAATAAAAAGACCAAATGGCTTGCCTAAATCCAATTTGGAACGATTTGTAGTGCCTGAAAATTCGCCACGGGTAAACAATGTGCATCGAAGCAATACCACTTGCAGCATCGAAGTATAAAACGATGCTGCAAATGGCTAGCCTCGTGTCAACTTATTATAGTGGTGTGCAAACTTGGCAGTGCCCACGAACATCCAGGTCTAGCCTGGAACTTTAGCTAGCCTCGTGTCAGCTTATTATAGAAGGAAATGTGCAAACTTGGCAGTGCCCACGAACATCCACGGATTGATACCCGAGAAAAAGTCCTCTGAAAAATGATCTGAATAAAAAAAACACCCCGAGCATATTTTTTCAAAAGTTGAAACAAATTTTTTAAAAAAATTATCGAAATTGGAGAGCGCTTTTCAGTAGTTGTTTGGTACCGATCGAACTGAAAAACAAAACAGATTACAAAGTTCAACCCCCATTTCAGTGATCAGAAAAAAACAACCAGTTTCACTTTACAAACACAAGTAAAAATGGCTAATGGGAGCCTTAAAATACAAGGAAGTACGAACTCAGTAAATAAGCTTTGGAAAATAAAAATTTTTTCCCTCTGAGGAATTCGAACGCCCAACTTCCAGAGAGAGCTCCCAATTTCTAAGCAAAAGCGTTTGTTGTGGTTTAAAAAATGGATAAAACACATTTTCAAAATAGCTAATTTTAAAGCGGTAAGCAGCTTCAAAAGCAACCTAGCTTTTGATTTATTTTGACAATAAGCGTTTTCTGCCTCAAATTTTTAGAAAAACGTCCAGTATCCAATAATTGTACACCAAATATTGAGCAAATCTTTAAAATTCGGAACAATTATGCTATGAAACTCAATTTGCATTTTTACTACAGAAGGTCAGCTGAGACGTCTCTCAGTTCATGTGGCACTATCGGTGGCCTTGTTGGCAATATCCTTGACCTCGAGCAATGTAATTGGCAAAAACTATAGTTGGCAAAATCGGTGACCTCGAGCAATTTAATTGGTCAAAAACAATAGTTGGCAATATCGGTAACCTCGAGCAATTTAATTGGTCAAAAAATAGTTGGCAATATCGGTGACCTTGAGCAATTTAATTGGTCAAAAACAATAGTTGGCAATATCGGTAACCTCGAGCAATTTAATTGGTCAAAAAATAGTTGGCAATATCGGTGACCTTGAGCAATTTAATTGGTCAAAAACAATAGTTGGCAATATTGGTGACCTCGAGCAATTTAATTGGTCAAAAACAATAGTTGGCAATATCGGTAACCTCGAGCAATTTAATTGGTCAAAAAATAGTTGGCAATATCGGTGACCTTGAGCAATTTAATTAGTCGAAAACTAAAGTTAGCAATATCGATTACCTCGAGCAATTTAATTGGTCAAAAACGATAGCATTTTAGGTTAATTTTTTTTGGACACAATTTTATGTCAGGAAATCAGTACTAAGATAAAACCGATGTCAAAAAGAGCAGTTTTAGGTTAATTAACTTCGTTCAGATTCGTTGATTGAAAAGATATTGGCATTTGGCATTAATCCATATATAGTAAATAGCAAAAAGTTGGAACTGACAGAAATAGTTAAAAAGGGAAATCTGTCTATAAAAACCATTCTCAGCAGCCTCTCTATAAAAACCGTTCCATTATACTCAATCTTACCTCTGAGAAGCCGCATTTGAAGTCAGTCACAAAGTCACTCGCAGGTTTGGACTCTGTAGAGGTGGAATTGTGGTAGATGAACTGTTTGATCTGCAGTATTTTGTGGGCAGTCTTCAGATCAAATATGATTGAGGTGAAGTTGTCGAATGCAAGGGGAGTCCACACAAAGGGCAGTTCCTCGAAACTAGAAAAAAAAGACAAAATCGAAACTAAGTATCACTGCCTGAGCAAGAACCCCTCACGCCGTAAAAAATTCCTCGAAACTAGAAAAAAGATAAAATCGAAACTAAGTATCACTGCCTGAGCTAGAACCCCTCACGCCAAAAATCAAAATTCTAAATTAATTTTTAAAATGTTGAGTCCCCCTTCCCCTCAGAACACACACATGCACACAGAAACTATTTTCGGTCAACAAACGACGCAATAAGAGGCCACTAAGCCGATAGGAAACCAGCCGAAACATATTTAACCGAAAAAAATACAAAAAAAAATTGAAAAAAAAAAAAAAAAAAAATTTACACATCGAGTTGGTAAAATTACAACCAACATTTAAGAAAAAAATTCGATTAGGCTGGATAATTAAAAAGCTTACATGTTCAAAGTTTGTCTGTTGAAACAGAAAGGACCATTACATAAACGAGCCCAGGAGATGAGTGCTGTAAAAAAAAATTTTACGGGGAAAAACTATTTAATAACAACTAAAGGATCTTGTTTACTAGAAAAAAGGGAGAAATTGTTACTAGTTACGAAAATTTGAAAAATTCGGTCTCGTATCCGATTGCAAACCACCAATGGTTTAACACTGAATATTTTCCGCTAATGTTCTGATGTTTGAAAGTGCAAAAAAAAATTAAATAAAACGCACAAAAATTCTGAATTCCCGGGAAACTGTCTCAGTTGGCTTATAGCATTGCCGCATCAAAAATCCCCCGGGCAGCTAAATATGATTTTTTTTTTTGGAAAACGACAATCTTTCTCGGAAACTATAGTCCCCCTTATGTCGTGTACTAAGGTTGAAGCAGCCAATGAAATGAGTAAAATTTTGCCTTTCGCAGGTAATCATTTACGTAGTGTCTAAATAACCTGGGCATAGTCCGTATGCAAGGGAACTTACCGAACGAAACCTGAACCCTTTTTTTAGATTGAACCCAAAATCTCAGATGTGTGAGGGTAGTTTCGAGAAAATTCATAAATTTTAAAATAACGGTCAAAAAGTCAAAACTTTCCGAGAGCAATAACTTTTTAAGGAAATAAAATGTGAGTAGCTGCTAAAGCAGGGGAGCTAACCACTACATTTTATCTATGTTGAACCTAGAATCTCAGGTTTGGAAGGTTTTTTTGAGAAAAGTCAAAGATTCAAAAAACGGTAAAAAATCAAAAATTGGACATTTCCGGGGCCATAACTTCATGTGTAGAAAAATTTGGGCGTAGTAGCTAATGCAGACGAGTATTAACCTAACTTTTTCATTCATTGAAAGCAAAATATCAAATTTGGACGGTAGTTTCTGAGAAAATGAAAGAAAAAATAAAAATGTGGATTAAGAAATTGAAACGAAATCAACTTTTTCGAAGGCTGGAGACAAAAGAGTAAAGCAAAAGAGACTTGAAGAAAATGCACGGACACAAACGAACAGGCGGCATCTTTCTATTGATATCCTTTTATTGAAAAATGGTAGAATTTTTTTTGAGAAAAAATGAAAATTTTTGTAAAATATGAAAAAATTTTCGAACGCGTCTCAAAAATTAAAATAAAACCCAATCCCATACATTTTCATAATACTTGTTTTTATCAAGCAAGGTTTCTAGTCAAACATAACAATCAAGATAATTGAATTTTAAAAACATGGTCCGGCCGGGTTTCAACCCCAAACTTTAGTAAGCAAAGGCGACGGCGTTTCCTCAAGGCCAAGTGCGAAGAAACCTGGAAGTTGTTAAGTTTCAATAATAAAACCAGTTGAAAATTTGAAACAAAAGTTGTGAAGGGCAAAAATTCTAGTTCCTGATTACTAGTCACTTGCTTTCGCAAAGGTAGAAAGAACACTGAAACCGATTCACGGCCCCCATCGGCGAAATTTTACAAGAAAAATGTTTGTTTAGATTGCCCGATTTTTGTGGGGGAGACGAACTTACTCGTAAAGACCGCAGGTGTTCAAGACATCCACGGATGCTGTTATGTAGGGTGGATTTATGTACAATGGGTACTGTAGGTTGGTGCTTCTGCTGGACACCAAATGGGGGGCACCATCGTACATCAGCAGTAGATTCTCATCCGCCCCCGGATCCCCCCATGCACAGTGGGCTACTGTCAGAACCCATGTTATAATCAATTCAAGCTTGAAATCTGCTAACCAAGACATCAATTTTATGGCACTGTAAGTATATTATACGTTGTCAATTTAACATCACGCCGTTAAAAACTCCGGTTTTGAAAATTGGGACGAAAATTAAACTAAAGGAAAATTCTGATAAAAAATTCCCAGCTGGTTTGCCAAAATGTTATGTCAACACAGCTGCTAGTGTAAAACGTAATTTCAGCCAATTTGAAAGGTAGCTTCAATTTTGTTCGCGAACTCAAATCATTCCGTCAATCATATGCAAAAAACGACTGAAGGAAAATACAGGTGTGCAAATAAATGGCGATGGCGAAAACAGTTTGTATGAATTTCAGTTTAATCACGGCGAATATGTTTTTTTTTGTTGACAACATTTTCCGTTCGAAATTAAATGCAAGAAGAAAGCTATCTGAACAATCATAACAGTTATGTTTTATGTATACACAAAGTTTTCTGACTGAGTTTGAATAACGAATCAAATAAAATTGGTCCGAAACTGAATCAATTTATTTCAATTTTGATTTTTTTTTCACATTTTTTTTCAATTTCATTTTCTAGTAACATGGTGAATGAGAGTTTCTTGTCGGCTTCAATACTGCCGTGTCAATTTTCTCGCATCGAGCTTCCCTTAGTCGTTTTCCAGAATTCTTATGATAGCAGGCATTGAAAATGAGTTGAGCCACATTATTTAACCAAGCCAACAGAAAATTGGAAAAAACAGACAATTGGAAAAAAAAATTGTCAACGATCAATTGAACAGGAAAAAAGTGTAATTGAACAGAAAAAAATATACTGACCTAATTTTTGAAAAAAAATAGCAACTTTCGTATTTGAAAGAAAAAATAGATGGCCTTCAAGTTGTTTGAACCTCTAGAACAATTATGGTTGACTCTTCTTTTGAGGAAGTTAACACAAAGTGAAAAAAACTGGAGAAAAAACTGGAGAAAAGGGAAACCTGAAAAATAAAACCCGCCTACAAAATAAGAAGTCGATCTGGTTTTATGTGATTTTTATACGTTTTCTGTTCGATAGTGGAATTGCCTTTTTTTAACATAGGATGAACTAAAATTAGGAAGTCAACAGTTAATCCGCGAAAAATAAACTTGAGCCTCAACTAATTTTAAGACTTTTTCCTGAAAAAACAACATACAAAAACCACCACGACCTTCATCGAAACCGTCTCCATACGAAAACAGACCTACATTGAACGAAAACTAGCAGTCGTCTAAGTCAGCTGCCAATCACAACTAAACCCTGAACTCTCCAATTTCTGACCCAGCTAGTTTCTTCAACTACCCGTGAAAACGCGTTCGACCCTCTTTTTATCAATAGCAATTGGAAGTTTGTTATCATGATTAATTCAATTTGGGATTATCTTAGTGAACTCCGCCTGGTCTGTCTTGCTATTAAGATAGAACTGCCGGTCCCAAGCCCGGAAAAAGGAGGAGGGTGGACATCAGGAAGGGCACCCGATCCATAAAAACTTTGGTCTGAAAATGCTCTCTAGAGGGCACCGCTCCAAGCAACTCATGGAAATTCAAACAAGCGATGGCCCTCAACCCCTTGCGCCCCCTCAATGGGAAAGGGGTGCTAAGAAACTCACGGTTTCAACTAGTCGTTTAAGGAAAACTAATAAGTATAGGACAAAAAAACCACCCTAGAGAAGAAGTCGTTCCGACTATGCTCGTTGAACGTTGGCACACGTTGGCACACGCAAAGTACCTTGAGATATGCAAAACTAAAGAACAAAACATCGGTAAGTTGTCTACAAGAAACTTGATTCAAAGAAAGCGGCACAAGAAATTTTGGAAAAGGCTACCACAAATTTGAGCTTTGCCCTGGCAAGGAGCCTCAGAAGGCATAAACGAAGTTGCAAAAGCCATCATTGGTCGACTCATTGAAAATGTACTGGAAGTCAGCAGAGTAAATGAACGTGTTGGGCGCCAAAAATTTTTATTAGGGCATAATTTGTGTAATGTTGTATCTGCGTACGCACCACAAGCTGCGAGAGATGATTCAGAAAAAAAAAAGATTTTTAGAACACGCTAGAAGATACTAATTTATCTCTGCCCGACCAAGAAAATGCTTTACTGTCGGATTAGTTGAACGGACATTTTGGAGGGTAGCGCCAGGAATTTGACTGCAAAATTGGCCCATTATGCTTTGGTACTTAATACTCAGATGGTCAGATACTTCTCAATTTCTGCTAGTCACAAAAACTAGCCATCCTAAACACTTTTTTTTTTAAACGTTGCGAAGATGATTACTGTAGATTTCAGAATGGAAAAAACTCCACCCATATTGATTTTATTCTAACACGATCGTCGCAGAGAACATGTGTGGAAAAACTGAAGAGTGATTAATGTGTGTGATTTCGATCTTGAAGTTCACATTTATCGCCATAAGTCGAAACCAGTTGGAAGAAAAAAATCGTGGAATTTAATTAAAAACAAGTACAAAAAGTCAAAAAGATAGAAGCTATAAAATAATCAAATACAGTCCATATGGGAACATTTTAAGTCCACATAGGAAAACTAAAGTGGAGGAACAAAAAAAAAATAGGCAAAAGATTCAACAAGAAAAAAAAAGTTTCAAAAACTGGCACAGGTATGAAAATGAAGAAGACCGGTGATATATCGGAGGCAGACCAGAGTCGTGAAACAACTGGTTGCTGAAGCTAAAAAATCCAGCCCGAAAGAGTGTCAATATCTCTCAAAACAGATTCCATGGGCTCTGCGGCAAAAGAGCTCCCGAAAATCTGATACGACTAAAAAAGTTCCTGTACACCGAGTCGAAAACCAGAGTTTGCTGGCCCTAAGGATGACTGATTACTTCGAAATTAAAGAAGGCGCGCAACAAGGATCGGCACTTAAATCAATGTTATTTATAAAAGTAATAGAAAAAGCTACAAGAAACTGTCATTCCATGGTACCATGGCATACGCTATTTGCAGATGACCTTCCGATATCAAGTGAATTGGAATTCCATGTTATTGAGAAGTTAAATAGTTGGATAAAGGCTTTGCAAAAATGCGGTTTAAAAATCAACGTGGCTACGACAAAGCACTTGATTTTAGGAAAAAAAGTATTTACTCAAAAATTCGGAAAATATCTATACGCTTGTTATTTGAAATGATTCAGCGCCAATTCAATAAGCTACAATTTTTGTAATAAATGAATGCATAAAAATTGCAGTAGAGTGAAGAAATACCTAAACATGATACTATTTAAGTTTGTACAAGATGCAATAATCCTTCCCCTTTTCACTTACATCAGAATGCTACTCTACGGACTAATCAGTTTGAAACCCTGAGTACTGTCAAAATTTCTGCTATATGGCTGATATGATTTCCGTTGAAAGTGACGCAATACGTGCATCAAGGGCCAGAACAGCAGCTTCCAGGACGAAATGGTAGCAAATTAAAAGATATGAAAGTTCTGTGAAGGATTATTGGAGTCATATAGAAAAACAGAGTTACAAACGAATCAGTGATTAAAATGACAGGTCTTGTTGATCTGGACAAGCTACAAGTGCAGTCGCGGCTATGATGGTATGGCCATGTTCACCGACGAGCAAATCACCATGCGCTAAAATCAACAAATTATGTTTCAGTCCCAGGGAAAAGACCAGCAGGAAGGCCTAAAAACGCTCGGATCCGTTGTGTTTATCAAGACCTGAAACTTTTAAGCCTAAAAATTTCACGTCTTGATAAACACAATCGATCCAACGTTTTTAGGCCTTCCTGCTGGTCTTTTCCTTGAGACTGAAACAATATATCTAGAAATTCATATATACAGATTGCCTTGATCGAATAGCATGGAAAAACGTGTTATCCTCTATTTAATAGCTTGTATTCTACTCAGAATGCCCTCATCTGAACCATTGCTAATGCGCTTTCCGGATGTCCAATCTCGCAACAATGGGAAATCGGACAATAAACGCTTTAGTAAGCAAAGTAGTTAGATTATCTTTGTGCAACCTTTTTCAAAAATGTTTTCTTTTCTCCTCTCAAATAAGCAACCGAGGACCTCTTCTAAATTTTTATCTTGGAAATTATTGTTACCTTTACCTCACTGCAATATATTTGTCATCAGATTATTTTTTTTGGAAACTTCAAGTCAATTAGCAAGCTTATCGCAACTAAAAATCAAATCACTTCAGCTGGTTTATTTAATCAATCAAGTGAATTGTTGGAGACCCGAAAATCAATTTTATTGCAAAACTATGCTTAGCTAATGTTTTCAATGAAAACTGGGCACAAGTTATAACCTTTCCCTAAAGCGTATTAGTGGAGGATGTTACCTTAGTTAAGACTGCGGTGGAACTTCCAGCCACTTAGAATTGAGCCTTTTACACGCAGTGCTAAGCAATTGTAATAATGAATTGTTTGCATGACACTTACGTAAACTTACACCTGCCTACGAGACCGCCATTGGATCTACAGATCCATTTTCAAGTGCCTCTCAGCGGAAAAGCTTGTCACTATTTTGAACTAACTACATGAATTGAGAACAATTTCTTATTACTAAATTCAACGCAATTCGTAAACTCATTTAAATAATTGGCTGGAAAGAAACGGCAAAAATGTGGTATATAAACCGACCGATAAAACACAATTGTTATATAATAGTTATGTAACATCTATGTAACTGTTACGAAATTAAGCAATTTTCATTCATAAGACTTAACTTTTCGGCTGGTTTATATACTCTGCGCATTTCCGGTTGGTTTACAATTCGGCTGGTTTATTCACACTTGTCTAAAAACGAATCAAACTCAAATCCAAACAAGACTGCTCGTATCAGGGCGAAGCCCTGAATGTTCCGACTGCCTTTTAAGGTCTATGAAGCAGAAATAAGATGAAAAAATTAAGTGTAAAAAAATTGTAAAATTTTTTTCAGATTTTTTTTGAAAATCATCCCCCCACACGCCATATAAAGTACAAAGTGATAAATTTAGCTTCTAGTAACAAATCAATTATGGCAAATAAGCTTCTTTTAACCAATTTGGAACGATTTTTAAGACAGATTAACTCTCCGCTTACGCGTTAATAGCGCGAAATATATCGCGCGTTAATTGTCCCAAATTGGCAATCTTTAAACCCCCATAACTTTACGAAAAATGATCACAGGTGAAATATTTTTTCAAATTTAAGCTTAGGACAACAATACCTTTTGAATGATATAAAAAAATTCCGTCAAAAATGGCTTGTTAAAAAGTCGAAATTTGTCTGAAGAAAAAAAAACCCACCCCGAGCACAAATATTCCGTTACTTTCGTATCGAAAGTCGGAACAACAAGACTGCTCGTATCAGGGGAAAGCCCTGAAGGTTCCGACTGCATTTTAAGGTTTATGGAGCAGCAGTAATAACATAAAAACATTATATGAAATAAAATAAAATGAAATTTTTTTTTCTAAAATTTGAAATTTTTTTATGAAAATCATCCCCCCACACGCCATATAAAGTAAAAAAAGATAGATTTCGTTCCTTGTAACAAACCAATTATGGCAAATAAGCTTCGTTCAACCAATTTGGAACGATTTCTAGGACGGATTAAATCTCCGCTTACGCGTTAATAGCGCGAATTATATCGCGCGTTAATTGTCCCAAATTGGTCAAAATGGCAATCTTTAAACCCTCATAACTTTACGAAAAATGATCACAGGTGAAATATCTTTTCAAATTTAAGCTCAGGACAACACTAACTTTTGAGTAATACAAAAAAATTCTGTCAAAAATGGCTAGTTAAAAAGTCGAAATTTGTCTGAAGAAAAAAAAACCCACCCCGAGCACAAATATTCCGTCACTTTCGTATCGAAAGTCGGAACAAAAAGGCAATGTCAGTGGAGGATCTCAAGTTGGTCTAAAGAAGAAAATGATGTTAACTTGATCCAAAAACAACAGAGTAGAAAATATATAATTCAAAATATCGGTGAAAATTTACAAAAATTACAAGGTCCAAATAGTTATCTTGCTAATTAATATCGAATCATCAACGACACAACATCAAAAGCAATGTATTCTAGTTCAGAACTGACATTTGCGGCGTTAAATTTACAGATGAATATTAGCATACAATCTCTTCTTTTCTAGGAAAGGATAAACAGAAAGTAAGTATTTGCATATATCAATAGTGTCGCTTTTTAGCATTCACAACTTTTTAAAAAATCATCCAATTTTTCTGTTCGCGTCAGTAAAACATCTCATCGGTTAAGTGTATCTCGTAATCCAGAGCAAATCCAAAACTTTCTTCAAAAGCTCGATATACGATATCTGTAGGCTTTAAGTTTTCAGAAATACTATATTCTAACGATAAATAAATGAAGGCCATTTTAGATCCACACTTGCGATGATGAGTCTTTTGTAAGAAGAGAAGTATTTTTTTAATGAACTGACATAAAAACCAGGCAATAAGTGTGATAATGATTTTATTTTATTCGACAAAATAGTCAACGCGAGATAGGCTAAAGAACCAATCCACGGCCAAATCAATCGGAATGCATGTCGACTTTAAACTTGAATTAAAAATATTCGAAATTTAGTTTGATTGCATTTTTGAGGTTGCTGTTTTAATATAATAATGCAGAAATTGACTCTTTTTATTCTGGAGCCTTGCCCTCTAAAAATTCAAAAACGTTAAAGCTGAGGGACTGTTTTTTGATACTAGCTTGTAAAAGGATTATATAAGAAAACAGCCCTATAAACTTCGTGTTCGTAAGCGACATGCATTATCATTGATGGGTCCTTCGAGCTACAAACTAAGTTGGAAAACTACTGGAATTTGCGAAAATTTATGAATGGAATTCGAAATGCAAAAATGGTACGAATATCGATTATAGAGATAACTTATTATATCAACTAAAAATTTAAACTTCAATTTAATCAGTTGAAAAAATCAGTTGATCAAAAAAATTGATTAAAATTAAATTTGCACTTAATGCGATGAAAAATTAAAGACCAGTTTCAAACTTTTGTGATATAAGAGTCAGCAGCTGCTAAAAATAAGACTAGCAACCATGTTTTAGCACGGATCTTGCAAAAAATGAACATTCAACTTTTAAGGGTATATTTTAACTACATATACCGGCCAAAATTACGCATCAGATGAAAACATATATTTTTTCAACTGAAACCTTGATAAAATTAAAACCCAATACCTACAATTTCGCCGTAAAGCAACTATAAGGTGAATTGCTATTTATTAAAGTATATACATCTTTTTGAAATCATATGCAAATGAATATAGATGACATGTCGACAAAGTTACATGTAACAACTTCTGCGCTTTTTTAAACAGTCAGATTAACAAGTCCAAACTTCTGATGTTCAGTTTGTTCTGTTTCGCTTCATTTTTGCAAAAAAAAAACAATTTTAAGCTCTGCTTTCCTCGATCCCATTGATTCCTTCTTTACCGTCAATTTTGACAGCCGTGCTTTCATCTTCATCCATCGAACCTCGACTATTTCTGGTTTTATTGGGCTTGGCTTCCGTAGCTACAAATCGCACGTTCTTTCCCACCGTCTCGCTATTATTCGTCATATTCGTCGATTCCTGGGAGTAGCTCGTGACCGGATCCTGTGCGTTCGGAATCATCAGTTTGTCATTCGCGTCAACCTTACTCAACTCATCACTTAAGATTCGCTCGACGTTCGCCATTTCTTTGATCTCGTTCGTTTTGGAGTCCAGGTCGTCGGGACTCGTTTCGTTTGAAGCTGCACTCGTCTTTTCAGCTCCTGACTGTGCATATAGCAGATGACTAGCTTTTACAGCGGCCATGTAATGTTTCTGCTTTATCTAAAACATATGACAAATTCTACATTAAAACTAGTTTAATTTATCTACAATGAAAAACTTCATTGAAACTCGTTTGATTTATCTACGAGGAAACGGAAAAACGTGCGAGCTGTTTGGCTAATTAGCAATCAAATTTTGACCGAGACTCGTTCTTGACATTCTCAATTGATTGTATCATTAACTTTCAGTCAACGCCACAGCAATCGTTCCATTTTATTCAAAAACATGAATACCTCCTTTATAAAATTACAACCATTCACAAATTTCATGTCCATTACGCAGCTTCCACAGAGCGTGTTCAATAAATGTTGTATAACTAACAAACAAACCTATTAGAGCCTCCCTTTACTCTGATATGATAAGCTACCACTCAATTTTTATCAATCAAAACACAGTAAATCTACCACAACTGTGTTCGCTGTGGCCTATTTGCCCGCTAGCAATCAATCAGCTCACTATTCCGATCCAGTAACCACCTCTCGGTGACTTGGTTAAAAACCACAATCCAATTGCCTAAGATTTTTTTGGTTATTCTCCGTTAACCGTCCAAAATTGTTTATCAAATTTGAGGCCCTATCAAAGTTTGTAAAAATATATTTAACGTACTGAATTCGGGCATCAAAAAGTGAACAAACAACCCATGCTAGCTAAAATTATTTTTTTTTGTTTTAGCCGTAAATCAAATGCAAAAGATTCATGAACATGGAAATTTTTGTACATGCAGTCGCGTAGGGTAATTTTAGTCATTTCAAATAACAGTTTCCTTCCGCATTTCATGGCTTAAGCTTTTCTCAACACTCGGTCTTAAAGAATTACAAGTCACAAGCACTGCCAAAACAAATAATCATCGTCCTTTTAGCCTAAAAACAGATGAAATAGGTGGATTAGCTACTGAACGTGAATGAATTTAAGTTTGTTACAGACTTCAAGATGCAGTCGGAAACTTAATCTCAACATTAGTGGTCATGTCACAATTTCAGTATAGACTACCAATCAAAGTTTTTTTGACAGCTTCAATAAAAATTTGAATATCTAGTTAAGAATTTTTGTTCAACTAGGTCTTGGATAAACTGTATCACAAGTCTGACCTTGAAAACGATCAGGTTCGTGGTGGCGGTGGCTGTGAAGTCGGGGATGAAAGAAGCGTCTTTTTGCGCAACAGGCACAGCTGGCGTCCCACTCTCCTCGCCAGTCGCTATTTGACCCGAATTAGCTAAAAAGGCAACCAATAATTAATTAGAAACATGAACCTGGCTATTGACAGCAACATTGAGTCTATAAAACAGCATGAGAAACTTTATACGCTAAATAATTATTATAGCTGTATTTAATTACCAAAAAGATTCTAATATAAACAGACAATTAATCCAGTTGGTAACATACCTTTCCGGTACAATTAGGGTCCCTGTTTTTCGAAAAGGTCAATAATTTTAGTGCACCACTCGTACGTCAAGTGTTCTGTACAATTAGGATGCTTGATCATCACTTTCTTTATTCTATGTAATGACTTTAGAAGAAGAGGAAGAAAGTGCTGCAATGCAAGTCAAATTATATAGAAAACATCTAGAACAGTCAGTTAGTGTAGGTCAAAGGTGCAACAAAAAGTACAGCTGTAATAGTCGAATATATAAAACTCCAAAACAAGCCCCAAACGCAATATTGAAGGGTATATCGCAATACTCCATTACCCGGCAACTAGGTATTCCATTCATTGCGATCAAGGAAAACAAAAAAAATGGGCTCAATGATAATATTGAGTGAAACTTTTGAAGAAATCAGAAACATAGAATCATGTTTCTCATTTATTAAGGTACATTTCCTGACAGGAACGTTTACATCTTTCAGCAGTTTCTATGATGTTCACAGAACCAACTGAGAATGTCGGTTCAGTTGTTATTTTCGTTTTTATGAAGGAGTTCTAACAATTAACACATTTTTCTAACAACACAAATCTGATACATAAAATGAAGAGCAGCTATCTATAATAAAGAAACTGAATGATAAATTCAACTTAGAGCATAGCCAATAGACAGTTGGAGCAATGTCAGGGAAGTAAAAAAAAACAGTGAAAAATTATTGACTTCTTTGAACATTTTTCTACGCTTTTTGATTTAAAATTTCAACACCTTTTTGAGATTGGCTTTTTTCATTAAAATAACTCACTTCTAAAATTTGAATTAATCTGGTGATGTTTTTACTCCGCTGGGAATTCTATAAAGTGAAATCCACTTTCGACAAGTCATTTGCTTTCGCAAGTAAAAACAAATCAAACACGTTTTTGCGCCATGAGCACTTGTTTATGGGAGAACGTAATCCTGTTATCAAATCGACTTGAAGTGAAATTCAAGAAATCATCAAATATAGCCAATTGAAGATTGGAAAAGAGTAATGAACGCAAGAAAACATAAAAAAAACCAATTTTATTGAAAAATCTCAACTTTCGAATTTCAAAGAAAATAGATGCCCTTTAAACTCTTTGAATTTCTAGAATAATTTATGATGGGCGCTTTTTTGATAACATTAACACAACTAGATAAAGCTGGATCAATACACTAGTAGTCAGACAAAATTAAGCGCAAATTCAGGTTTTTACTCTCTAAAATGCCTGTTTTCAATGTCCACTTTGGACAACATTTACTTCGAAATTCAGTAAAACTTTTGCATAGACTAAGAGCAAATGATCAGAGCTACTATCTATGAAACTATCAAAATTAAGTTTCAAAGACTTACCAATGAAAACCGGGTCTGAAAATGCCAGTTTTCCTCGACTGCACTAAGTTTCGCATCGTAGTGAACTCTTTCTCGAATAAGCGGAGTAAAAAAAATCTTTCATGCGACGTGAAACATTCTCAGCGAGAAAATGGAAGCAATCAGTGTGAAACTTTACTAAATTCCGACGCTTCTTACTTTTACACGCGAACTTAAAATCTTAGTGCATATAAGGAACACTGGCATTTTCAGAACACTTACATTGGTAAGTCTTTGAAACTAAATTTTGATAGTTTCATAGATGGTAGCTCTCATCATTTACTCTTAGTCTATGTAAGTTTAACTGAACTTTGCAGTAAATGTTGTCCAAAATGGACATTAAAAACAGGTATTTTAAAGATTAGAAACCTGAATTTGCACTGAAATTTGTCCACTAGTGCAGCTAAAGTTTTTATTCAACTGGAAATCTAAAGATTAAATTCCATTTTCAAAACAATACTTTCACGTATTTTTGCGCCAATTCCACGTTCGCATTTGGAGAGTGCTATTTACGCCACTTTCAGCAGATGAATTTCAATTGAACTCAAAAAGTGCATATATACCTAAGTGCATTCATAAATGCATCAATATGTATGAATGCACATCTGTAGTTATTAGAGACTTTTAAGACTTTTCCTGAAAAAAAAAACAAAAAAAAATCAGCAGGACCTATATAGGAGTCTTCACTACATTCTTTACTCTTAAACAGCAAAAGATTAAATGTGCGCGTTAACAACAAAGAACGACGCAGCCTAACTAGATTTTTTCACTTCGCTAATTGACACTTGTGTTTGGCCAAAAAGTGTTTTTTTTTATTCTGCAGGGAATTCTGAAAAAAAATTATTTTTTGAAATAAAAATCAATCTCAATTTTTGCGCCATTTGCTAAGAGCTAATGACCAAACATCACCAAAAGTGGTAGTAGCTTGGATAATTTTTCGGAAAGTAAGATGAAGTCATGTGAACTCTCTTATAAAGGAACCTATAGTATTCATTGGTAAAGAAGCGACAGCAATTACAAAATTTACAGTAAAAATGTAAAATTCAGGACAAAAACTGATTTCGAAGCGTATCAAGCTTTTCAGATTGAATTCTAGCGAATTGTTCAGCGGAAACCAATTTTAAATTTTCGAGAAATACTAATATACAATCATCGCATCATTTGCAAAACAAAAAGACAGAAAATGGCAAGAAGTGAAGAAACATTTCGAAATAGAACAAAAATATTTTCCATACGGAAGCCCCGCAGCATAGTGAAAAAAAGAAATATTATTGTGCAAATAAGAAACACAACTAAAAAGCTATTTTGGGAGTGAAACAACGAAAAAGGCATTTATAAACACAGAGGCGAAGCTTCGCTTCACAAACACTTGCGAGAACACGACAAAAAAGCAGCTCTATAAACTGCAATAAGAAAAATTAGAAATAAGCCTCGAATAACTAAAAAACCAGCTATGTCTGAGATTCGAACCATCGACCAAAAGATTAAGAGTCTCACACACTAACCACTCAGCCACGAACGCTTAATAGGTACCAAACACAAGCCGCAACTAGAGCAGAGAACTGATGTATGCAATTTCCAATACTACAGTGAAATTTTCAAACAAGTGAACACTTTCATTTGCGAGTTAGGTCAGAAAAAAAGAAGGTTCGTAATAATACACCAAGCTGATTGCAAGTGTAAACAGATAGATGATTATTGTGGATATTTTGCGACATTGAGCATGCCAACAGCTGCTGTTGAAACTTAGAGAAAATTAAAGAAGTTGTTTACAGTAAAACATCTAGTAACCGTTTATAAGGCACTTGATTAATCAGACAATTTTGGGAAAGTTCAGGGATTTAAAAGGGAAACAGAACATATCTAGCAGCTAAACAATCGTATTAAAACCATGAATTTAACACAAAATAGGAAACTTGTCATAATTTTTCAAGTTTAACTTGCTGAAATCAGCAACTATGTTTCTTTTTCATCGCATAGAAATCCAGAACGAAATAGGTTGGTTTTTTGGTGCAATATTAGTGGCGTCAAAAAGTTCCCTGTTTTGATTGATGGATCGTGGTATAATTAAGTGCACATTTAGTCTTAATAATGGCTCTTTTCCACTCCCCCGGTTAAACTGCCATTTGCAAACACTAAGTTTAACTTATCATTATGGTGTAAAGTTTGCATTGTGAACCAATTACCAATTATCTATTCTGAAAACCACTGTTTTTCATATCTTGCATCGTAATAGCACGCATTTAGCTAACATATAAAGTTTCAGTAACGTGAAAATGGAGAACTTGCAAATTTGTTCACATTTTTATTGGCGAGGGGAGGAGAGGGGGGGGGGGGTGGAAAAGAACCGTACTTTTCCTCGCGGGTGATCGCGTCAGCGCCACTTGGGACAACAAGGGCAAAGAGTCCGCCCACGGGATGCTAGCCCTGCCTCGGCGAGGCGCCGGCTTTTCCGGTTCCGTAATAACAGGAACCATTGAGTTCCTTTGGGATTTAGGCGAAGAACGCCTCGATCTTACGGGTGAAGGCAGTGCCGTTTCTAAAAATGAAAACATCCAACACATACACAGGACTCTAAGAAGCGAAAGGGAAAGCTGTTTGGCTAGACGTGCAGCTGCGGTTTTGCTTTTTGTTAATATACAGACTGGTATTATTTTCATTTTTCGCCTATGATATGATACCAATATCAGCCATTAGTTTTTCTTTTTGTGGAAATTCAAGTGAAATGTTAGATCTCCATAGAATATCTCACCAAAAAATAAACCCCGAACTTATGAGTGGACCTGTAAATTTCTTGATGTGGCTGATTTTTTATTAAAAAACAGCTCATCTATACAGCCTTTAATTGGAATTTTCAAGTATTGTAGATAGCGGTTGTAGTTTTCAAAAAAAAATTGAAAACCAGGCCACAAATGGCATTTCAGACTTCTTTTTAATAATGACATTTCCGAATTCTTTTTTAATACGTCTTCGGTAAAAAAAAAGAGCCGCGAGCTTCCTTCCCTCAAAATTAGTTTGACGACAGCGGGTGGTCGAATGGTTGAATAGTTCGACAGGGGTCATTGGCTCACAAAATTTTAAATTTTCACTTTTCGTATTTTCATGTTTCTACAAGAATAATATTGATATTAAAAACAGATGCAAAAAGCATCATAATTGCTGGCACTTTTAGGAATTTAAAATTAGTTTCTTCGTACATTAAACATTCGCCAAAGCACACATCCATTTTTATCAATCAAATGCAAATACAAATTTCAAAGTGCCAGTATGCATATTTGGGCAACATTGAACTTTGAACGCAAACACGCTCATTATTCAGTCAATATTGCAATACCTGTTCAAACACTGTCTAATTTAGGAAATGATTTTATCAGAAGTCCCGTAATTTTTTTAAATTGAGGAGCCAAAAAACCAGATAACAGTTGTTTTTCATCTTAAATATTCAGTACAAAACGCTGTATTAATCTAACTATTGAATTCAATAAATTGAATTCAATAAATCAGCTTCACTTATTTTGATTCTGATGATTTCAAATATAGTAATAATTTTTGACAATATTACTACTCTATCGGAAGCTTAATGAGAGCTCTGCTTAGAAAACGAGCATAAGATCAAATTTCAGAAAATCATCCTCCGAAAAATGTTTGGTTCTCAAATTACATAAGCCCCAAAACGCACGAAGGAAATAGTGACAAAAATGTCGTGCAATTGTTTTTCATAGAACCAATTTTTTCGAAGACAAAATTTAAAATTAAATTCAGAAAAGCAAATAATTGCAACATCAATCAATGGTTGACATTTTTTTTTTCTGGAATATACTTTTCAGATTTTTTTTTATAAAACCTTCAATTAAGTGTTAATAGAAGGTTTTTACGATAAGTTTTCTCAGTTATTTGGAAGCAAGCTTTCAAATCTTGGTTATATGCACTAACAATATGACTATTCACGTCTGCGTTCTATAACATGCCATTTGGGTAAATTTTGATTGTGAAAATCACCAAAAAATTCAAGTTCAATTTCAAGTTCAAACTCAAGTTCATTTCTACCCATTTTATTGCATATCTTCAATTTTTATAACAAATTGGAGTGAAATAACAGCAAGATGCTTGAACCTTAGCTCCGATCCTGCACTGATATCCCCTCAAATCATTCGGTTACCACTAATTAAACCTCAAAATTCCAGATCGTTTTCCTCATATTAGGTAACATATAGAGAGAAGGCTAGAATTACTCTGAACTTAATGTGAGTTACAGGGTATTTCAGATTAAATTTCCAAAAACAATCTAGATGCTTAGTAAGATATTGAGCTGAGGTAATGATATTTTGAGCCTAAATAGAAATTAGATGGAAATTTGAAAAAGATGAAAAAAAATGTTTTCATGCATTTCGGTCGATATGTACACCAAAAATTGCTAGACAAAACATAAGTTGAGTCCTCAAGATTACGAAGTTGTTATATGGAAAATTATGAATAGTTTGCTCGTTTAATTTTAAATGGCTAAAACATAAACACTTCAAGGCTATTTTTGAGCATATTTATCGAATTTCAAAAGAGGCACTTGTGGAAAAGATGCTAGTTTTTATGATTCAATTATGTAACAATTTTCAATTTGTTACTTAAGACAAGTAACTAGCTACTTAGCATAAATTTTTATGTTAAATAGTCAATTAAAGAAAAAGTGACTTATGTCATATTTACCATCTGTTTGACTGATTTGATATCACAGTCACATAAAACATAAAAACAAAACTTTCCACTTGTCAACTTCACAGTATCAATCTTTCAGTACCTCATCTGAATTAGTCAGAAAGGAATTCTATTATAGTTTGGAAAAGCATTTATCAGATACTCATAATAATTTAAATGTTTTCTCGAAGTCGCAACCTGATTTTCTTCCCAAAACGTGCCGCCAGTGGGCATGTTGCGCTTGCGTCGCCGCAATAACGGGCTCTATGTTTCGTATAGAGTCCTACCTTCTGTTGGCAAGCTCGAAACACGTTGGCGCGACTGCGGCGGTCACTATTTTGTTGTCTGAACCAAAGACAATTCTCGGCCTTCCGACTTTTAAAAAATTATAAACTGTTTTTCAGACTGTTTTGTATTGCACTGGTTTTTCGGTTTAATTTCATACTTTTCCGGACTATTTTACTGTTTTGTATGGGACAAACACAATCACAGGTGTTGTTAAACAAACACAATGGTTAAACTCTTTGGATTACAAAAATCAGTTATACAACAATTATAGGATGAATGCAACACGACGCTCAAAAACAAACAGAAATTCGAGCAAGGTTACAATTGACGCAGGATGTGGAACGATATATAGAGCTAAAATTTATTGAAATTTTTCCAAGAAGTCCTAGCGGGGTTGACTACGGGCTTTCAAAAAAGGTGAAAGAGTTTTATCGATATCAAAAGTATTGCCGGACATCTACAGAAAAAAACTCAGTAAATAAGCCGACTGAAATAAAGCGGAATGCCAATTAGCTGAAACTCAGCCGAAAATTTTCGTCAAAATAATGTATTGAAAATATTGCATGGCATGTAACGCCCGAATCCACGATAGGTAAATGAAGTGTTTGCAAAGTGGATTTCAGAATTTGAAAAAAAAATAGACCGAGCTTAAAAGCACTAAACCGACAGAGCAACAATCATTAAGCCGAAAAATCAATAGCAGAAAAATAGTATCGAAACTCTGCAATTCTATAACAAATGGTTTGAGTTCTAAATATAGCATATACCAGCGGTAACTAGTAACCACCCAGTTAATCGCAAGCGTAATTAAAAAGTTTCCCGAAAACCTAAACAATTAGAGAAAACTGGTTCAATAAATAATTTTCTACATCCGCTCTGAATTTCGAAAATTCAAGTCCATTTTTTAAACTAAAACTCATTCTCGTTTTTTTTACGACATTTTCAGTTCTATCTTTTGTGCATTTCATTTCGAATACTAGTCGTCTTCACTATAAAACGCCATTTTGTGTTTTAAAAGAAAAAAAATGAACAGATTTTTAGACATTTTGAATTTTTGAAAGTTTCATTAAAAGTAGTCCTTAGGCTTATATAGAAATTAAAACCACATCATTTTAAATCTAGTAAAACTATTAAACAATTAAAATATTGAACAGTTTTTCTCCAAAATTAACCCAATTGAATAACATAGCCAACAGACATAATGACTTTTTCAAAAACTCTCAACTTTAAAAAAAAACAGATGACCTTAAGCTCTTTGAGCTCCGAGAACAATTATGATTGACACACGTTTTTGGTACGAACTGTTTGAGAACAATGGATCAATAGGTAAATTTGTTATTCCGCTGGGAAACCTGAAAAATTAAACCCACTTTTGAAACTTCATGTCAATCGCGTTTTTCGTGACCTTTACCCGTGTCTACGACATTTGAACTTTAATCTTTGCCGAACCTAATTTTACCACATTTTTGACATGATTATGCCGCCAAATTAGTAAACTGAAAGACTCAAAACTCAAAAATCAGAAAGAAATCATTTAAAAGCAACAACTAAACTACGATTTGAAATTGGAATCTGAATCACCCAAAAGTATTGCCATTGTCATTGGCGCCCAATAGTTTTTAAAACAAAGAAACCGAAACCAAGGTTTTTTTTTGTTGGAAAAATCAACGAACCCATCCTTATACTAACCAGTCATATAGTTTATTATTTTTTTTTTGGATTGTAAGTTCCAAAGAAAAAAAAAAACTCAAAATCATTTTTTTTTGTTACAATACAATTGCGAGGGTTCCATGTAATCAAAGGAATTACATATTGGCCATTTACATTTTTGTCTGACACGTCAAAAAGTGAATTAAGTTTAGGAGACAAAGTCAATTAAAAATGAATTCAACCTATGATGCTGTTTTTAAAGTCATAGAAACAGACGTAGAAATTTTAGCAAAAGCAATTAACCAAGCCATAAGCGATTCCGACGAAGTACAGATCATAAACGATTTCTTAACGGAATTGAAGAGCTTGCTTGACGATGCCAATAACGAAGCAGTCAAGATAATACACACCGGAACGGACCAGCAAGACTCAATCATTGAACGATTGAAAACTTTGAAAGTTTTGTACCGAACGATCCAACTACGATCAAAACGATACGAGCGTACCCTCAACAACACTGCCACGTCTTCTTTAAACTCATCACGAGTAGCCAGCAACGTCTCGACGCCTTCAATAATACGACAAGCCTTGAAAAATCTTCCCCTTCGACGCCAAACGGAAAGTTTAACCCGTAGTACCACTACACAAAACGTCACCATAGACCAGGACACCCCGGACGATTTGCCACAATTTTCAGGATTGCCAGCAAGCTTAAACGCTACTTCAAACCACAGATCAAATTCCGCCCAGGACAATTCAGGACTCCTACTTCGCCCCGGATCTAACAGCGACGCCAATACCTTGGATCATCGCATTCATCAACAAAAAACAGAAACTCTTGGAACTCAAACTGCCCATGGAACTCACCTCCATCTTCAGTCAAACCTCTCATTGCAGCAGTCGAACGCCGAC